ATAGCAAATCAGGTTACAGCAACATAGACACCAGACGCCAAGGAGCATTGGCTGCCCAGAAACCGTTAGGCAACATATAGCAGCAACAGCACAGAGATAGAACAGACATGAATTTTGCTCCACAGATTCAAACTGGCAGATGACTAGGCTAACAATTAGAAAGCTTAATATCTTCTATGTGTGTCCATGTCATATGTTAAAATACTATTAATACAGTTTTACTTTCACAGATTTTTCTTTTCAAATATTCTGATAACTGTAAGTTTTACTCTGCTTTTTGACTGTGCCTTTTAAAGTTATAACTCTTGCATTTTTAGAATGTAATGAAAACATTCTCATTATTTATGATTCTTAAAAGTATATTTCTACTGTATTTTTATGTTCCTGCATTTTAAAATATTTTTGAAACATTGTTTGCAACTAAAGTTTAATATTCATAGATTCTCAAGCATTTTGTACCTACAGGTTTTTTTCAGTTGTAGGAATTCTGGATGATTTTTACATAATTAAATTGTGACTGTAGCTTTCCACAGCTACAAAAATGGATTTCTTTTTAAGCCTTTCAAATTTCTTGTATCTGCATGATTGGATTTATGTATAACTGAAGTAAAAGTGCCTGCAAAACTTCCAAACTGCATGTTTTCGATAATTTTGGAAGCTTATATTTTCATGCTTATGGAACACAGAAGCAGTCAGATAAATAAAGCTTGTAGAAGTGAATCTTTCATGAACAGATGCTGCCCCTCTTCTGTATGACAACCTTTTAAGTATTTGAATAGTGTTATCATATCTCCTCTCAGTCTTTTCCCAAGGCTAAATGTGCCCAGATCTTTCAGTCTTTCCTTACAGGGCTTGATTTCCAGTCCCCTTGCTGCCCTCCTCTGAAACAGTTCCAGTTTGTCTGAATCCTTCTTAAAGAATGGAGTCCAGAACTAGACACGCTACTCAAGTTGAGGCCTAATCAGTGTCAAATAGAGGTGAACTAGTACTGTACTTGACATTAGAGATGGGGTATTCGCACAGCTGGAGTTAACCAGGGTCTGGCTGGATTGTCCACTCATGTGTCTGCTGCCGGTGGAGTCCCGCTCTTCCTATTGCTCTGGAGCGCCCGGTCGGCTAGCCACTCCTGGCCTGCAAGACTGACAACTGGCTAGCTGACCAGGCACTCCAGAGCAACTGGAAGGAAGACCGGGGCCAGTGGCAGCAATGGACACGTGAGTGGACAGTCCAGCCCCAGGGACTGGAGCCTTCTTAACTCCAGCTGTGCTGGGCTGATTCGTATAGGAATACCCCCATCTCTACTTCACATGATTTGAAGACTATACTTATGTTAATGCAGCCTTAGCACCACACTGTTAGCTCATATTGAGCTTTGATCTAGAACAATTCCAAGATCCTTGTTGTGTACAGTATTGTTGAGCCAATTATCCCCCATCTTGTAGATGTACATTTAGTTTCTTTTTTCCTAGGTACTGAACTTTGCACTTACCCTTGTTAAATTTCACTGTTGTTTTCATCCCAGTGCTCGAATCTATCACGATCTCTTTCAATTTTGTCTCTGTCTTCCAGGATATTAGCTATTCCACCTAATTTTGTGTCATCAGCAAATGTAACAAACATGCCTCCTCATCCAAGTCATTAAGAAAAATGTTGAAGGGCACCAGGCCCAGGATGTGTTAAACTTCCTCCCAGTTTGTGAAGGAATAACTGATTAGAACTCTCTGAGTACAATACTACAACCAAATGTGGATCCACCTGATAGTTTTCTATTCAGCCCACACTTAGTTAACATGCTAATAAGAATATCTTGGAGTACTTTATCACAAGCTTTATTGAAGTCAAATACATTTTTAAACATAACTAGGCATCACACCCTCTAACTTGGATTGTGCTGCCTGCCTGCTGGTCTGTCTGTCGGTGACTCCATTTTGGATCCTTTTCTTTATTGCCTTTTTCTCCGGATTTGGCAGTCAGTGGGGTCCACCACTTTTTGGGGAGATTATTTTTGCTCCTGCCAGCAGGTTGCCTGTCTACACCACAGTGTCCCTGAGATTATTTTCTCCCCCTGATCACTTTGAGTACTTTCCCCCTTTTTCGTCTTCTTTCGTTTCCTTTTTAGACCTTTCCTGTCTTTGATTATTACTTCCTGCCTGCTGGACTCAAAAAACAGAAGAAAAAGCAGGAAGTGAGGGGGAAGAAACATGTCTCCATATTGTAGTAATGATAAAAGGGGGGTGTCTCTAAGTGTAGTTTTGGGGGTTTTGCCTTTACAGTATTTGCTTGCTTGCATGTTTGCTCTTCTTGGTTTTGGGAACTGGCTGGGTGCACTTGCTACCTGGGCAGGGAGGTAGGGGTGTGT